TTCATGACGAATTGTTTTGGTTTGCAGTGATGAGTAGCTACCTGTATGACAAGAATATTGTGGCTCTCGATGGTTCACATAGCCTCAGAAATTCTATACCCAGGTATCGATATTCGAGCTGACCAGTGGCAGCCACAGTACATTCTTGGATTACACAGAGGCGACGCGGCGATGCAGTCACACGGTTCGGGGAGCTGAAGGGACCGGCATGTGAGCACTGGCTCTGCCACCGTGTTAAGCTGCGTGCTTTCAGGCAGGTCACTTCGTCTCTCTGGGCCTCAGTTTCCTCCTCCGTACGTGACGGTAATCGACTGAGATGATGTATGGCAAGTGTCTGATACGTAAACAATGCTTAAACGCTGGTTGCGATTAGCCATTCAAGTGGTAACAGTCACTTAATAAGCACTTATTTATCAGTATTGTATGCTAATTCCCAAGAAAGGGTAAAACACAGATGTTTTCTCTCAAACGTGTATTTCCAGGTGTGGAAAACTTGTCACATATCTGCATGTTGGATAGATGTATAAAATAAGGATGTCGCATACCTCCCAGGCAACTCTGGAAACTAGAAATTAGGAGAGCGAGTGGAGTGGCCTTCTACTTCTTTTTTGGCAGAGTTTAAATTGTCCCATATCCTTGGAGTAGATTGTCATAGTATTATTAATGGAATTTAAACTGAACTATTATGTAACTATACATTCCCGATTTATCACATTCACTTATTCAGGAATGTTATCGTGACATCTTCATCGCTTTCATTTATGCCCTTGGTGGCTTCAGCATTTTTATTATGAATTTTAGAGAGAGAGAAAATAAATTATTTTAAACCTGTTTTTACTTTTTTACATAAAAATACTTTCAGTATTTTAATAAAACTAGCGTAATGTTGCTATGTCAAAATAAATTATTTTAGACCTGTTTTTACTTTTTTACGTAAAAATACTTTCAGTATTTTAATAAAACTAGCATAATGCTATGTGATATCAAAACTTGATAAAGCTATTCACAAAAATAAAAAAAAAATCTTGCAGGCAGTCTCACTAATAAATGTCGCTACAAAAATTGTAGATAAAACTATGTTCAATGGAACCCAGTCAGACATTCATCAGATGATTTACAAATTGCAGCAGAAGTTTATTGTAAGAGCATAAATATGGTGCGACATTAAGAATTCTATAAACGTAGTTCACTGTATTCACATGTAAAAAGCGTGTGATCTTGTGGTGGCATCGTCATGTGTCACCCTGGCTAGGCTGAACCAAGTCCCACTGATTTTCCTTCCCTCGAATATAGAATAAGTCAGTAAAAGGGATGAAAACAGTAACAGTTAGGAACGGTTTTGCATACAGAAGCAACGACAACTCCTTCACCTGCCTGACAGCAGCAGTAAAGTGTTATCAACGTGAAGAGGTCATCAGGTTTCAGAGCTTTTGAAATGTCGGGAAGGTGCGCCTGGCCCTCCCGCTCTGCGGTGATGCGAGACGTGCCCAGGTCAGAGGCGGCCTCGCAGCCTCAGACAGCTGCCCGCTCCTGCTGTGCGCCAGCCACTGGCCGTGGCAGTTACAGCACCAGGAGCAGACTGAGACACCTCGTGACACGCAAGGAAGAGCCCCGGCCCCAGTGAGCGAGGGAGCCGGTGGCAGAGCGGGCGGCTGGTGCGGTTTTCACACGCTCTGCTCGCAAGGTCGGAACTCAAGCCCGCATCTAACTGCGCAGCATGGTTCGGGCCGCCCGAATCAGGTGATTTATAAACTCAGAAGGCAGACGTGACTCTGAAAGTTATTATCTGCAACAGATTCTTAAGAAAGACGTACTTGGTGTCAGCAAGAGAACATGACCTTAATATAACAAAAGCAGACAACCCTAGGGGAAAAATTATGCTGTGATAAGAGTATCCGTAGCAGAAGAGCTCTCTGCAATTAAATAAAACTCAAAAAAGTTACAGAGATGTTACAGCAGAAATAAAATCCATGCGGAAGAAGCAAAGAGGTGACTCGAGACAATGGAGGTAAGTGGTTTTCAAGAGTAGAGAGTTGATAAAATCTTTCAGAACGCAGAGGGAAATAACCTGAACTGGAACTAGAATTAATTCTTTATGGAAGGCAGAAAATAGGCATTCGGATAATAAATCATGCGTGTTCCTGAGGAAGGAAAAAAAGAACAATCGAAACAGAATCAGCCGTCGTTTATAATGGAAGAACGTTCTTCCAGAATGAGGAAAAAATAATGTGCACACTGAACATGCGCGGAGCGCCCTAGTCAGAATTCAGGGCAAAACACGACCTCCTCTGGATCTCTTGGCAGAAAGAATGATGGGCTAAAGGTCACTAAATTGCATCTGTGAACAGAGAAGATAACCTCTGTGTGAGAATAAAAATCACACCAGCCTTAGACTTCTAAACAAAAAAGAAAAAAAAATGGAATAATATGTTTGGAATGATTTGGGAAAGTTTATGACTCAATAATTTTATAATACATTGAGATAAAGGAAATGGAAAGAGGTTCTTACATATGCAAGTGCTCAGAAAGTACATCATTTGTATAATTTTCTTGTTTAAAAATGATAACAGTTCAGCGGGCAAAAAGGTAAATCTAAATCAAGACTCAAGAATGGGAAATAATAATAAAAGTATAACAGGATTTAGTGGTGGATAAATAATTTTAGCTGTGGGGACAAAATGGAACGTAATGTTTTGAAAAAGAACATTGATAGAGTATGTAAAGATCGATAAGTAATGTCGTGAAGTTATTTAACAAAGATTGGGAAATCAATTGAAAAGAGGAATTTAGAATGTAAGTTTCTCATTAAGTATAGTTCTGGCTTTATCCTTGAGTGTGATAAAAAAAAGTTCATACGTAGATTTATCAAACAAGGCAAGCAAGAAGATATAAACAAAGACAAAATGTGTATTACAGAGCAAGAACACAATGGAAGAAAAATGTGTACCAAAGGCCAGAAAACAAATGAGAAGAACAGATGGATACCAATAGTGTTAAATGTTGCATGTTACATATAAAGAACATTCATTGTTTGTCAGTGTCCTTGTGACATTTTTAGTGGACATATATTTGTCCACAAAAGACCAGAATTATGTACCAGTATGGGACAGGGGAAGGCAAGAAATACATACCAGATACTTCAACAAAAAAAATACAAGAAAATGAGGAATGTTAATAGGAAGAAGCCTAACTAGTTAGCACTTTAAAACACTCTGAATTGTGAGAGAATATTAAAAGATAATTATTGGAATGTTAAAATCAAATGTTAGAAATATAGTTAATGTACGTTATAATATCAAAAATACTGTGTAATTTTTTTTACCACATTCTATAAGTCTCAAAACTTAAAATTGTATTTGGTATAAATTTATAAATTAAAATGTCTTGAAAATAATAAGCAATGACAAAAAAGACTAAGTGGTTTACAGAAATGTAAAATGAACCAGAAAATTGGCATCTCATAATCAATGAAATATTGCATGTGACATTTCAAATTATCAAGTAAAGAATGGGGTTATTAGTTACCGTGAATATATTTAATAATACAAAAATGTTTCTCTGTGACAAAAACATATACAAAGTCACAAGACAAATGACAAGTTAGAACAGTTAGTTTTAAAACATGGCAAAGAGTAAGTACCGTACCATAAAAATGATTCTTATAAATTAAAGAGAAAAAATAATAAAAAATTAAAAGAAAATGATCAATAGCTAAGAATACACAAGATATAACCAGACGGCCCTGCAAAAGCGATATAAGTGGACAACAGATCAGTGACAGTATACCCACCTTCACTCTTAATTATAGAAAAGGAAATTAAAACAATGTTATTGATACTTATCAGATTGGCAAAAATTTTCAAGTCTGATAACCGGTGTAAGGTAAAACAAAGAAATTTATTCATTAATGTTGGTATAAGTATAAATGGCACATCCTCTTTTGAGACGTATTGTCACGCTATATCAAATTTTAAAGTGTGTTCTTGGCTTTCTCGAAATTAATTGATGTCAGTGATTCGTAAGTTCCTCTAAAATGCAGCATTCGAGCTCAGATTTATTGACCATGCGCTTCTGTGATTAAACCAATCTAGATAAAGGCTGGGCCTTCGTATCTGATGCAGAGAGGGGGAAGGGTTGGGTACAGGTTGCCCTAAATCTGTTCACTTCGGGCCTCTCCTTAAGGTCCGCGCACAAGCCCGTGTAAGCGCGCACACACCCCGTCCTGCCGGCCAGTCCAGTCGTGAGGGGGTGCGTGGCGAGTGCTGCTCAGCGGGGGACGCGCCGCGGGGCTGGGGGCCAGTGCCCCTCGTTGCCAGCACTTCCTTGCCGCGGGCCTTGGGTAAGATGTCGTCACTCGTGCCGTAGAGTTCACACCTCCTGTCTTCAGCTGGCACTCCAGTGCTGTCCAGGCCTCTCTCTGGTCTTACGGTGTGCAGAAATACACCGCGTTTCACGAGGGTTCAGCTTCTTTGCCGATGCCAGGGTGACAGAAGGGGCAGCTAATCCCAAAGAATGTCACAGTTTGCTGGTGGTGGAAGCTGTGGTTGCAACTGCGGTGGCAAGGATTCATAGCAGTCCCGTGGGCGACGTTCCATTTGCGTTCAGGGATTATCTGAGGGGAAGTCACTTACTGTTCTTTTGGAATTGAAAAACTCCAGGTCCAAATCAACTACAGCGAAATATTTATTCAAAAATATAGTTCCGTCTTGCTTTGAAACAAGAGAATTTGAGATACGAGGAGTGGAGATGCGAGTGGATAAAGACTTAATTCGAACCAGGGAGTCGGGCATGCGCTCATCCCCGGAGGAGTCCGCGTCCGTCGTGTGTGGACACCTCCCGTCGTGGGGGACGGTGACAGCTAGCAGGCACACGCGTCGCGTTCATCGTGCGAAGTCATCTTAACCACATTTTTGCTATTCTCTAGTTCGTTCATTGGTTTTTATCTTTAATATTTTCTTCCTCGTGACTTCTTCTAGTTTTTACTGTTCGTCTTTTTCTAGGCTTTTGAACCACACATTTAAATGAGAAGAATGAAGGCAGCTTCGTGGAAGGGGATGAGTCTGCCGATTCATGGAGACCAGGTAAAAATACACGAAAACCAGGGGAGACCGCACGCGCCAGCCCCGGGCAGGGAGGCCCACACTGGGAGTGAGCCCCGGAGACGCGCCGGGGCGAAGGTCGGGCTGCCCGGCCGTGCTCGTGGACTTTGCACTCAGCAGCTGTCCCGCAGCGACACGCGGTGGATCGATGCCGCTCCGCCCACGGACACCGGCTCCTTGTTGACCGATGGCACGTGGGTCGCTTAGAGACACAGCCATGGGGCAGAGCAGACTGGGGGCTCACCCCCGACCTGCAGTTCCAAACTGAGGCTTGGAGAAGACGAGAAAGTTAGCGACAGCCGCGCGGTGGATCAGTGGCCATGGTGACTGGGAAGAGGTGACAAGCCGTTCACCTGTCCACCGTGCGGGGCTGTGGCAGGAGGTGCAGGAGTGAGGGTCGCCTCCGCCCTCTGTCTCGGCCCCCCACTCTCTCTCTCGTGAGCCGCTGGCCGAATGAATGGAGAGAACACCAGGGCCCGGAGGACGCGCCGCCCCGACGGGGTCGGACAGGTCCCCGAGGGCCCTCCGGACGCTGCCCCGAGGGCGCGCTACACAGACGGCGCGAGAAATGGGGTTCGTTGTCGCGAAGCATCTGAGAATTTGAGATTTGTCTGCAACAGCCTTGGCCGAAGCGCCGGTTCTGGTCCTCGAAGCCGTTCCGGACCGCCACGGAGGGCTGCACTTGGGGCCTCAGTCCCGTGCTGTTCATCCCCCAGGAAGTCCCACGACTGAGGTTCATAAGGAAAAAACGCACCTGGCCCCCGCAGACAGACGATCCCAGAGCAACAGGTTCCGCGTCTCACCCAGGCGCCGTCTCCGGAGTCCGAGGTGTGCGCGCTCACCCGCGCCACCGCCACCGTCACCACCACCGCCACCGCCCAAGCAGCAGCAGCTCCCCAGGAGCCCCCGCTCACGCTCGGCCCTGCGGTCACCGGCTCCAGCTCCCAGACTCCAGCGCCACACCACCTGCCACGGCCATTCTGAGCGAGAAGCCACGGAGATGACGCCCCAAGAAACTTGGGCTCCCCGCCCCCTGTCACGCAGCCCTACAGGCTGCAACCCCAGTGACAGTCGGTTGGCAGTTCCATTCAATCGCGTTTCCTGAGCCACACGTATGAACCGTTCCCTGCAAGCCCTCCCTCCCCTCAGATGCCATGACAGGGACTGTTCCGTTAAGAAAATAAGCCTGTTCGACACGCTTCACGCGGTGAGCTGCCATTAAGAAGTTTCCCTCGTACAGATACTGCAAATCTTTAAACCCTCTGGCTTTGACCCAGCTCCAGGGTTAAAAAACCCGCATCTTGGTAATGAGAACACGGCCACATAGTGTTTCCAGCAAATTCGTTTTCTCCATAGTTTTCATTTTCATAATTATGCCTCAACTCTGACATGTTAAGAATTGGCGGCCGTACGCGGTGGCGGGAAAGGCACCGGCCGGGACCCAGACCTTCCGCAGCCTGATCTTGCTTTTGCTGTGAACGGCGATGCGACCTTGGGCGTCATCTGTACATGCGGACTAAATAAGCTCTCTCTGACGTGAACCCGAACGGAGGATGAAATGAGAGGTTCTGGGAGCCGTGAAGGCCGCCACTGAGGCCTGGGGCCCACGCGAGGGTAGGTCCCCTTCGGCTGCCATGCCGTGCCTGGCACCGATTAGAGAATGTTTGACTAAGTAATTATAATAATTCACGAAGTCTTTTCAGAGTTTATGACGCTACCATGTTCTACCTTTTTTAAATGCCTGGTTTTTCTTTCGCTGTGACAGTGCAGGATAGCAGGGAACCAGCCCAGTGCAACATGGCAGGGCAGGGTCCCTCGTTCAGACATTCTCGAATGTCTAAGATGGCAGCAGCAGAGCGCCAGCCTCGGGGTGGCTTCCCATAGGTCAGCCTGCCAACCGCAGACAAAGGGCCCGCGGCTGGCTCCCGGCACAGACACTGGAACGAGACTGCTCCAGGCCCTTTGCAGGCCACTTACCCGCTCTCTGCCTCGGCCTCCTCACCTGCTCAAAGAGGATGATTAAAGCCATCGCATGAGGTTATTCTGAGGTTACAAGAATTTAAACGAATTCTTTTCATAACACGCTTAAAATTGACACACGGAGAGCACCGGGTCCCTGGTGACGGTCACTGCCGTTATTGTTATTTCGTGCTGAGCCCTGAGATGGGCCGTTACCGTGATCCCACTGGAGACTCGGGACCAGGGCCTGGGCCGTAGTGTTCACTTATGTGTCCCCAGGGCCTCGCACGGGAGCTGGTGCTTTTATGGTTTTAATCCACTGGAAACGTGGGGGCGCTCTGTATTGGTTAGCTCACTCAACTTTAGTACAGTCACATTGGCGCTCAGGCCCTTGCCGGTGGACTCAGAAGTCCGTCGTCTAAGCTCACGGACCACGTGTGCTCCTTCCGACATCAAAGACCCAAAGAGAAAGATTGTGGGAAAAGTTTATGCGACTCGTCAGGCAAGAAGATTAGCTAGCAGCAGGCTTCACATTTAATGTGCATACACTGTCCCCGGGAGGTTTCAGGTGGGCGTGTCCAGCCGTGCGTGCCCCGCCTCTGTGTCCTGGGAGTGGGACTCTAGAGCTCGGGTCTGCCTGAGGACTGGTGGCTTCGCCCAGGACCTTCCTGTTCACAGCGAGCCCTCACCCACGTCGGTTAAGTACGTCAATGACGCCTCACCTCACTCGGGAGGAAGCTGACGTTTGGAAGGTGTAGCTGGCAGCGTCTAACCTTTGTCTGAGCTCGTAACCCTTCTACTCCACGTCCTCTCCCCCTCTTGCCTCTGCAGGAGGCCGAGAGCTGGCTGAGCTGTAGCGACAGCGACAGCGTGATTCTGGGCGTGGAGATAAGCCGCTCTCCAGCCTTTGCCTCCCCATCTGGCCGTTATCAGACCTGGAACTTAGATCTTCACTTTGGAACGTGGTTAAAAAAATCAAGAACACTCTGTATTGCTTGCTCGTGTTTGGAAGGCTCAGATGTTGGAGTAATTTAGTCTGACTGTTGGATACAAATATTTAATCATTTTAAAGTAGCCGCCTTGGGAGCATTTCAGACTTTGCTCCCCAGCATATGTTGTCAGCTTGTCTCAAATAAATTCTTATGAAAATGTTTTTAAAGTCAAGTAGCCACCCTGATGAAGGATCCAATTATAGCTTAGGGAAGCGGTGGCACACTGTGTGTTAGGCACAGTCCAAGTGGGATTCTCTACACGCAAAAGAGTTGTCTGCACTATTTGTGGAATGTTCTGGAAACTTCTCTGACCCTGTAACAGAGACGGCAGCTCTCGCAGCTTCGTCCATAAAGTTACCAATCTAGCATGAGAATAGCTACACCACATTTATGGAGTTTGAATTCTCCTCCGACACTCGTCGCTAGTTGTGTGAGCACAGAGACTATGGGATATCTAGTTTTTTGGTTTTACCAGTATGAAATTTGTCAGTATGATAAAATTAGTCCTAAACGTATTCCTGCGTGGGACTCCATTTACTGAAAACCTGACATTGAGAGCCATCAGCGGGCCAAGGATTCCGACAGGCTGTGGGTGAGGGGCTGGGTGCTGCGGGTAGCTTTTCTTATCAAAGCAGTTGTGACATGTCTATTTCGGACACCACCGTGAATCTGTCCTACGATAAGACAAGGCCACAAGTGACTCACCGTCCTCACCACCACCTTCAGAAAGTTTTGAAAATACATTCAGAATATTGGATTTTTAACTGACCACTCTAATAAATATGAAATCATACCTGCTCAGAAAACATGAGAAAGATGAGGAAGACTTAATTCTGAATTTTTCTTTTCTCTTAAAATATACTGAAAAGATGTTATGATTTATCTTCGACGGAGACATCATGCATTTTATTAGTGGGAAAAGAATCACAGCTGGTCATCAATGTTATGTTTAAAGTTATTGTCATATTAGTTCTGAGTAAAATATGGAGAAGACACAATATTCTTTTTTGGTCATGTGACATAAACCATAAGGCACACCAAACTATGAGATGGTAATTCATTATAAGAATATATGACTTCTACCTCAAAAGTGAAAATTTCTGTGCATCAAAGGACACAATCACCAGCGAAAATGCAACCTATGAAATGGGAGAAAGTATTTGCAAATCATATATTTCATAAAGGGTTAACACCCAGAGTGTATAAAGAACTCCTATAATTTAACAATAAAAAAAAAAACGGTTAAAAAGCGAAAGACTTGAATAGACATTTCTCCAGAGAAGACATACGAATGGCCAACAAGCACATGAGAAGATGCTTAGTATCACTAATCATCAGGGATATGCAAATCAGAACCACTAAGAGCTATCACCTCATCCACGTTGGGATGGCTACTAGCAGAAAAATAGAAAGCAGTGCTGGCCAGGACGCGGAGAACTGGAAGCCATTGGGTGCGGACGCAAAGTAGTGCAGCCTCTGTGGAAAACAGCATGTCGGCTCCTCAAAAATCAAAAACAACATGCGACCCGGCGGTCCACCTCTGGCTATGTACCCAAAAGAATGAAAAGCAGGGTCTCAAGGAAATGCTCACAGGCCCAAGCTCATGGCACCATTATTCACAGTAGCCAAAAAGCGTAAGCAGCCCAGGTACCCGCAACAGATGAGTGGATGAACCGACGGTCCTCTCTGCGTGCAGTCGGGCGTTATCCGCCCGTAAGAGGAAGGAGACCATGGCGTGTCACAGCGTGGGCGAACCTTCGGGACTTCGTGCTCGGTGAACTCAGCTGGCGTGTGGTACGAGGCCACTTTCGGAGAGGGGCCCAGGGTGCGGCCCGGTGGGGGAGAGGGAGGCGAGCGCCGCTGCTTAACGGGGGCAGAGTTTCAGTTTTGCAAAACGAAGAGTCTGGAGGTGGATGGTGGTGGCTGCAAAACGGTGAGTGCCACTCGGCGCCACTAAGTCGTATGCGGAAAGATGGTAAACGTGGTGGTGTGTGCTTTACCACCATTACCAAAGTAGAAGACCATGAGGCTCTCACTAAAGCGGCTTACGGGTGTCGTTAATGTAAACCCTGGGGAAATAATCCGATTTCTTCCCGCCGCGTATTGTGGCCTTGGGTCGAAGCTCTCGGTTCTACTTATGACGGTGCGTGAGAATTAAGTGCTAGATGTCTCAGCGACTTCAGACGCAGTTGATCTTTCTGTTCTGGAAAAACTGTCCACTCTCAGCTTCCAAGGTACGATGCTCCTGGTCCTCCTTGGGCCTTGCTGACATTTTTCCGTCATCTTTGCTTCCTCCTCTGCTTGATCTCTGACGTCTCTGGTGCGTTTTGACTGTCGCGGGCTCCTGCTCTGCTCTGTACACATGTGCTCCCTCCGTGGGGACGGCATCCTTTCCGTGGCTTTAAATTCCACTGAGAAATCCTGAGAGGGAAATGGCACAGATGTGATACGCCGTGGAGGTCACTGGTGGGCACGACTCGGAACGCAAGTCAGCGGCGCTTTACAGCTGAGCTCGACGGCCACACGCAACGGAAGTAGTTTTCTCCGTACCGCTAGGATGCTCTGTAACAGAGTGCTCAGGTGGCTCGTTTCCAGCTGCCACATAACCCTTTTACACACACAGAGACGGTGCGCACGACAGTCTCTGTGTCCCTACTGTCCGCAGTCCGAGCGTGCAGAGCTGGCCAGACCGGCTGGCAGGGGCAGAGGGTGCACCTTTCTTCCCAGGTCCCAGTTCAGTGCCGTCGTCGGTGACTTAAAATCAACCACACTGGAAGGGTGTACACCACGGAGACAGGCAGATGCTACAAACTGTCCCATATTCTCGCCAAGAGCATTTAACGGCCCCGCCAGAGCCAGGGACCACGCCCGGACTGAGGGCGGTGACGTGTTACAGTCAGATTAAGTCACTCACTCTTTTTATCCCTGTTATGTGTTTCCTCGGATGTAAAACACAACAAAGATGTCATCCATCTGCAGGAATGTTGTGTTAAGGTGACACATTCCGCAGAGGCCGCCCGGGGTCCTCCTCGAGGGACTTGCCTCGGCTCGTCAGATCCAGTTTGCAGAAGTGTAAGAATCTTCAGAAACAACAAGCCGACAATGGAGCATCAGGAGAGCAGAAAACTTACTCTGGGAACAGAACTTACATACGGGGGCACAGGCTGGTTGCTGTGAGGCAAGGGAGCTTTGGGGTGGGACTCTGCCATGCCACTCAGACGACTTGCCGTAAAGCCCCGGAGAAATTGCAGGGGTGTTTAAGGACGCGGTGACGCTTCTGCGAAGTCTGATGACGTCGTCGTGACCCAGGCACAGGGCAAGCCCCGTGGGCGTGCGGGGAGAGTCACAGGCCCTCCGTGAGCAGACGGCTAAGTCTCTGCGGTGAGACTTGACAGCGACCAACCCGCCCCGCCTGGGGGTGACACCAAGAGAACTTGAACGGGGCCGATTAGAGCTCGCTGCATCCCACAGCAATGGACGCGTGATTGGCCTTGGCTTCTCTGTCTCTTTCTACTTCCGCCCACGCCCGATGTGCCAGCTGTTCCATCGTTCCGAAATAGCCCTTTGGTGCCTCACCCGCCCGGTCACCTCTGTGGTGGTCCCGTGCTGGTCACATACAGCCCAGCCCCCTCAGACCGGCAGTAGAGGTCAGAGCCCCGGGCCAGCTCCTCTGAGGCTCCTTGGTGTTGCCCGTGACTCTGCCACGTGAAGTCCCTGTTCCATCCACGCGGGTTCGATCATCGTTCATTAAACGTGCCCCGTGCTGCTTCGACCCTCTTAACGGCTCCTCTTCCTCTGTAAATGTGCTTCCCCTTCATTTTTGGTATCCACATCCTTCCTGCCTTTCAAAATCCTGTTCGAAGTAAACTTTCTCCTTTGGTCCCCACCTCATAGGCGAGGCTCATTCGTGCCTTCGACAATGCATGTCGATCGAATCTTCACTGGGCGCGAAGAACTGTGCTCAGTGCTAGAGATGCATCCCATGCTTTGAACATTTATCTTTTTTTAAATCTTCATTTTATCCCATTTCTAGCAATATTTCTGTGCCACCTTATAGCATCTATTTTATTGTTTTCTTATAAACTAGAAGTTGAGTCTATTATTGAACCTGGAAAAATGCAACATGAAGTGGATTCTTAAGTAATTGTTGACTTGATGCACAATAGAAATGCTCGTTCTCTTTAACCTTGTCCTCACTCAGCGAATGCACAGAAACCCATAAAAGATTTAGTGAAGTGACTGAAACCTCCCAAGTTAAAGAGTATTATGACATACAGCTGTTCCGTTTTGATAGTTCGAGAAAGATCATTTGCGGTGCCTTTGGAAACAACTGATATCTGCTCTTTTTCCGAAGTGAACAGCACATTCTCGAGGGTGGAAAAGCCTCTCCTTGTCTTCGTAGTGGCCGGTCCGAAGTCCTCCAAGTGTGACGTTTGACACCTGCCATCAGTTGGTCTCCTGTTAGGTACTACATCAGAGCCCGTGCTCCACAGTCGTGTTAAGGGTGAGTTTGGTTTATTTCTTTTCAGAGTTTACATTTTCACTTAGAAGACAAATATATTTTAAAACTTTGAAAGTATGACTATACACATATAGTGGGATCTGTAAATTGTATTCACATTGCGACTCACATGGACGAAAAGTGTGATTTTTCTCTATAACTTCTGGCCTTCTTGAAAAGCCCCTATTGTTTAAGTGGTATGAAATAAATTTAAGTTTATTTTTTAAATTTTTTTTAAGTTTATTTATTATTTTATTTCATTTGTTTGTTAATTTTTTTTTTAGGCGAGACAACCCTTGGTTGACCTCACAGATTGCAAGGATCTCGTCAGCTTACAATCCCTTATTTTTTATTTTATTTTTTTTACTCCTATAGCACCTGGTCTTCCTAGGTGGCTGAAATAAAATTTAAATGTTTGCCTAATATGGCGATCTTTGCCCGACGCAGTAATTTAAAGAGTTTCTTGTCATAAATCTTCATCTCTTTGCGATAAAAATCGCGTCTCAGGTTTCCTCTCTCCCCTGTCCTTGCTTCTCTCCAAGAAAGGAAAAGGTGTGGCTTGCCGTGACTCTGGGACCGCAAGGGGACAGCTTCCTCAGAAATGTGCCTTTTCCTCTGGCCTCTGCAGTGAGGCCCACATCCTCCTGGTCACTTTTCTTCTGCGCAGCACCCTGGGGTGAGGTCTGCCGTCAGTGTGGTGTGCAGTTGGGGCTCTGAGCTCGGGGGGGCTCACGGGGCTCCCCGTGTAGCTGAGCCTCACTGGTGATGCAGCGCCTTCTGCCGCTGCGCTCTGGCCCAGGTGGCCCGCCGCTCGGCGCGACCGGGTGTCACACATCAGGCCCCCGCAGCGCCTAGCTCAGCCACCCGCCATCCACTCCTGCGGAACAGATTTACATATGGCTGGTGTGTTAGTTTTCTAGAACTCATGTCACAAACTACACAAACACCGTGGCCGGAACAACAGAAAATAGACTCAAGATTTTCTCACTGTCTCGGAGACCAGAAGTCTGAAACCAAGGCGTCAGCAGGACCGTACTCCCCCGAAGGCTCAGGGGCAGAGTCCTCCGTGGCCCTGTCCCTGCTCCTGGTGCCGCTGGTAATCCCGGGAGCTGCTTGGCGTGAGGCTGCGTCACTCCGGTCTTCAATCTCCCTACAAGGATAGCAGTCGTTGGATTCAGGACCTGCCATAATCCGGTAGGACTTCACGTTTCACTAATTACATCTGCAAATATTCCGTTTTCAGATAACATCGCATTCTGAGGTTCCAGGTGGAAAAAAAAAAAATTCTAGAATCAAATAACGCATAAAATAATCCTGTTTATTAGGAACGAGAGATTTATTTTATCTAAGTTTTAAATGTTTTCGTGTGCCTCCCAAGATGTTATTTGGTTCTGAAAAGCATATGTAAAACGCACATAAATATTTGCTTCCTGTCACACCTAACGGAGGTGGAGTAATTCTTAAACAAAAACACTTCCCAACTTCCCATTAAACGGCGGAACGAGCGGCAAAGTATTAGGTCGAGACCCTCACCCGTCTTAGTGGAGTCCTAGGAAGCACCCATGGGCCTTAGAGACCGAACGTCCCAGAAGCAGGGAAATTGGGGAGAAGACCGAAGGCGACAGGTGGTTTCGCCTTGACTGTGGGACTCGTAAAACTTGATGACGAGTGCTGCGTTCCAGCCGAGCCTGGCTGCTCACTCACGCCGTCCCCTGAATAAGATGCTCTGTGTTCTCCACGGTTAGCGTTGAAATGTACTCTCGTTACTTTCAAACGTGCGGAGCTGCTCTGCGGAGATGCCCGCCAGCCCTCTGTTCCATCTAAGCACGGGGCTCCGTGGCAGGGCTGCTTGATCACGTCAGGGCCGTGGACCCCTTTGGTAATCGATGGACATTATGGAGGCTCTCCCCGCTCCAAATGCAAATACACTCACGGTGTGTTTACTTTTCGAGGTAATGTACGGACTTCCGAATCCATTTATGCATCCCAGGTTCATTCCATTCTCTATTATTTTTCATTCCCTGGTGCTCAGTCTTAGTAGACTTTTGCAGGTGGGACATCACATGTGCTTTACAGTTTAAAAAGGCGCACGCACGCTGATAAAATCTCCGGGGTACTTTATCAGCGTCATTGTGAATATTTTTGTTCAAGGAGGCTTTGACAAAATGCATTTATTAAGTACCTACTTTCTGCCCTCTCAAAAGAGGTGACTGGATTTTCAGTAGAATGCAGTTCTCATGGTATACCGCCATGCAAACATAGCGGCTAAAAATGGTTTTCCGGTTGTTCGCAGCAACAACGTTTATAAGAAAGATAAACTGAAATACAACCAGATGTCTAACGATAAAAGAACGATTCACCCATTCAACGAAACGTGTTGCAACCTGGAAAAATGGTCAGCAAGAGTTGATAACAACAGGGAAAAGCGCTTATGTTCTCATAAACGAAAAAAGGCGACTGCTGATTCCCTCTTCTGTTAGGATGTCGACAGTCAAGAGTGACCGTCATGCTCACCTTAGAGCCGAAACGAAACAGGTAATCCTAAAAATAAATGTCTGAAACGTATCGGATATTGAAGAAACCCACATGAACTAAATTTCAGAAAACAGTGAGTCCTTCACAGAAGAGAAAAGGTCCCTGGCTTCTCTCGTCCTTGATGAAATGATGGAAAGAGGATTCTGCCATCCCCAAACATAAGAGCAGATGAGGTTACGTGGGCATGACGGACGAGCTTTAAAGGAGATCCAGCCCCTCGAGATGATCGTAGCCCTCGTCGGCTCTTCAGAAAGCCTTCCCGGCGTGCCGGAGCGTCATCTGTCAGTGGCTGGGCACATTCAGGGGTGCAGGTTTTCTCCCAAGTACAAGACATCTGCCCGTGGGATGAGTGAGCACAGCGGGAGAGCCATCGGAAGCCCGGCTGAAACACCCACGGCTTTCGGTGCCAGGGCTGGGGGCGGGGGAGGAACTGCGAGAGACTCTGCTTGGGCAGCCTGGGTTTCCGCGACGAGGAAGGTGGCTGTCCTCCCAAGACTGGCGGTGCAGCAGGACAGACAGCGACCCCGAGGCGCGAGAAGATGGGCCGAGCGCCGAGAACAGACAGGACTCCTCAGTAAACCCAAAGTTGGCAACCGAGCCGTAAAGCAGAAAGAGATCACTCATGGCATAAAGAACTGACAGTCCAGCTGTCAAGTACAAAGAGATCTCTGGACACTTGCCACTGCACAGATCTTACTTAAGTCCTCAGAATGGAAAGTCCCCATTCCACTATCAAAACATTGGGAGCCAATGTGAACCAAACCCAGCTAGAGAAGCGGCAAAGCGCAGACAGGCCAACTGCTGAGCAAATGGACTCAGCCCCCAGCTCGAGTGGCTCCACACAAAATGGGCATAGACTTTTCTAGAAGAAGATATTATTTACTTCATTTGTTAGTGTTTTATAATACGTATCACCCAGTATGTAGTCAAAAATTATAAGACACGAAGAAGCAAGAAATGCGACCCATGAAAATAAAAGGAGATTTGTGGAACAATGTCAGATCGCTCAATATATGGGTAAAGTCTCAGAAGGAGGAGAGAGAATGGAGAAAAATATATACAAAGAGATAATGCCTAATAATTTGATGAAAGACATCAGCTTATAAATACAAGAAGTTGAGCAAACCCCAAAATAAAAATCTAGGTATATTATTATCAAAAATGTGAAAGATAAAGATAAATTATAAAAAGCAGTTGGAGGGGAAAAAAGCACATTAAATACAGGAAAAGATGGCTGACCTCACAAAAATAACGGTGACTAGATGAAAATAAAAGATAAAATGCTGAAAGAAAAAAACTTATTGTAGAATTCTATATCCAGTGAAAACGTCCTTCAAAAATCAGGGCAAAATAAAGACATTTTCAGAAAGACAACAGTGGAGAGAATTTATCTCCAGCAGACCTGTACTACAAGTTTTTCAAGCTAAAGAGAAATGATACCAGGTGAAATTCAATGTATACCGGAAGGGATGGAGAGCACTAGAAAGAGTAAATATGTGGTTGAAAAAAACTTCTAAAAAATTTTATATTTTACATGTTTTTTCATTTTTCTTTTAAAAATCATTGATATTTTAAAAATCAATGCATTGTAGGATTTATGGTAGAATGAAAATACAAGATAAGACAAAAGATAGACATAAGTGAATGAGAGTATAAGGTCATAAGTCTCTTATTTGAAGATAGATTGTGGTAACTGAAAAATACTTATTGAAATCTAACGCAACCTCTAAAAATAATACAAAGAGGGATATAACACTGAAAATGAATAGATGAGTTAAAATAATAGATTAGTCCCACAAAAAGAAGGAAGGACAGGAGCAATAGAGAAACAGAGAACAAATGGGAAGATAACCAAATAACAAGACAGGGACTTAAGCCCAAGCATATCAGTAATTACATTAAATGTAAATGGAACAAACTCTTCAAAGGCAGAGAGCGGGTGGACAGCAAGCAAGACTTTGTATATTGTTTACAAGAGTTATGCCTCGGGTCACAGAGAGGTCAAAAAGATAGTTTATGCAAAATGTCAACACCACCGAAACCCAAATAAGGTTTGTAGTTTAGTTAATAGCATTGCACCGATGCGGGTTTCCTGAATTTGATAATTATGCTTCTTTGTATGTAATATGTCATCATCGGTGAGAGCTGGGTGAAGGGTATGTGGAAACTACTATTTTCGCAAGTTCTATTCGAGTCATCCTTTCTTTTCTGTAAGAAGTAGCTGGTCTTTGGAGCCGAGTAGTTTTTGTTTGGTTTGGTTTTTTAGATTGCTTCCTGCTCGTAAAGTAGTTCAGAGATACAGAGACCTTTCGTTTTGTAATGTCTCTGTTCCTCTGAAACCGCGTTGGGGATGTTTTCACCAGTGTAATTCTCTAAAAAGCTTGGTGGGTTTCCTAAGACTTATTGGGGTTTATTACATTCAACAGAAGCCACACCCACAAATATCACAAAGATAAGCACTTTTTACCTCGGCCTCCCTGTAAGGCTGCTGTGGGATTCAGATTCTTTTAACTCAGATTCTTCATTTGCTACAGCAGATCCCCAACCCGTGCTTTTAAGATTCTGAAAGAGACTTTTGTCTTTTTGAAAGGATCTGTGATGCACCCCTTAAATCTTTCTGAGATCTTAACAAAGAGTTTTACAGTCACACTCCTGGCTTCATGTCCAGAACACGTTTTCTTGACAGTATACTTGATTCGATCTCTGCCTAAAAGTCATTTCCTAATTTTACCATTGTTTTTCACTCGGAGAGTCAGAAAATAAGAAACTGTGTTGTTTCTGAACCCAGCAAGTCCTGGATCCTTAATTTTTTTATGGTGGCAAAAACAAAGAAACAGACAACCCCACATAACAAAACTTACTCCACCAACAGTTTTCAAGTGTGCAATACAATACCGTCACCCACATGCACATTGTTAGGTGACAGATCTACAGAGGCCACCCCGTCCTGCATGAAAACTCCGCACTGCTGAGCAGTCATTCCCTGCCTGTCCCCACCCCCAGTGCCTTTCTCTGTTTCTATGAGTTTCACTACTTTCGAATCCTCATATAAGTAGAATCGCGCAGTGTCTGTCCTTTGCTCATGGCCTTATTTTACTTAGCATAATATCCTCAGAGTTCATCCATTTCGTAGCATATCCAGAATTTCCTTCCTTTTTAAGGCGGGATGATAGTCCATTGTGTGCATATACCACATTTTTTTCCCAGCTTTATTGAGGTAAAATTGACAAATAAAAATGTATGTATTTAAGGTGCACGCCATGATGATTTAATACATGTTGACATTATGAAGCGACAACCATGAACGAGTGGATTCACACCCCCATCGCCTCCCGCAGCTGCCACCTTTTGTGTGTGTGTGGTAACACTTCAGATTTACTCTCTCAGCAAATTTCAAGAATACGGAACTGTGTAATTAACTACAGTCGCCACGCTGCACGTAGGGTCCCCCCCAATTATCCATCTCGTAACCAAAAGTTGTACCTTCGAGCATATCTCCCCGTTCTCCTCACCCCTTTACTCCCGCAACCCCTGTTCTGCTTTCTGGTTCTACGGGTGAGTGTTTTTAGATCACACGTGGAAGAATGGCCATGGAGCGTTCGTCCTTGGCTCACTTCACTTAGAAAACGTCCTCCAAGTCATCCATGCTGCCGTTGCTGGCAGGATGTCCTTCGTTTTATGGCTGAGTTAATACTCCATGTATTAAGTGTATATCGCACATTTTCTATATCGCCTGATCTGTTAAAGGACATTCGGGTTACTGCCACCTTTTCCCTGTTGCAAGGAATTCTGCAGTGGGCATGGATATGCAAGACAGCTCTTCGAGATCTGGGTCGAGTTCTTTTGGACATATCCCCAGAGGTGGGGATGCCGGATCATACGGTAGTCCTATTTTTAATTTTGCTGGATCATTAATATTTAACAGTTCTTTCTTTTGCTTATCTCTGTCTGTAAGCAGCTTAAGGAAACTAGGTGACACTTTTGACATCGGTCCGGAAATCTCCTTAGCTGGGTCCATCAGCTCCTTCGGTACGTTGTCTACTTTTCACGTTGCTATGAGTAACAACACTGCTAAACTTTTCCCACTACGTAACGAAGACCTCCTTTCCTCCAGCTTCCAGGAACGTTTGTCTTATTTTCCTGAGGGCCATCAGGCTTTAGCTCACAGTCTGTTTATTCCTCCTAAGGCACACCATCATAGCGGCACCCCACTGCAGTTACCAAAACCCGTTGCAGAGACATGTCCTGCAGAATGGGTCACCCCATTCTTCCCGGCTTAAAAGAACAATGACTGTTTTATTGTTATTTCTCATTGTTTAGGAGTTGGATGAGCTCAGGAGATTCTTACTTGGGATCTCACACGTTAAACGGGAATTTATCAAACGTTGCAGAGTGTCTCGCAGAGGGACGGAGACTTGAGTCACCTCAGAGCCTTCCTCACTCACTTTTCTGTGGTTGACGTGGACTGTCAGCCGGAACACCCGCACGTGGCCTCCCCGTGTGGCCTGTGGTTCCTTACTCATCGACTGAAATTCAAGGGTGCACACCCCAAACAGAAAGCGTCAGACGGCAGCCGTGGCGCCTTTATCAGCTTGACCCCAAAGGTCTTACTTCTGAGGTCATCACAAAAAAAAAAAATCAAAACATTCAAAGGTAAAAGAACTTGACCTTTCGATTGGAAGAATGCCACGTTTCTGGAGGGGCACGTAAGGCCGGAAATACCGTCGCAGTCATTTTTGGAAAAGACCAAAATGTGCCACAGGCCCCATTTGCTGAGGCAGTGGCAGGGTCACTTTTCTGATGGTTCCAGATCGGAGGCCCCTCACCTTACAGGTGGGCCGGGTGGTCACAGTTCCCTCCAGACCCGTGGTGGGTAGTGGTCTTCGCATTCGTGCGGACGTTTCCATCAGTCTTCCTGCGTGAAGCAGCACCCGAGGCTGGATGGGAGGCACCATTTCGTCAGATGGATAAGGCCTTGTAAAATTATTACCCGAGAGCCAAATCCAGCCCACCACAGTTTTACAAATAAAGTTTTACTGAGACACGGCCCCACCCATTCGTTTAAATACTGCTGTTTTCGCACTACAACGGCAGAGTCGAAGAGTCGCAGCAGAGACTCCGTGGCCCTTTACGGAAAACGTTCGCCGACCCCTGAGATGGGTCACTCATGCTTCGTCATAAGGACCGGCGGGTCTCAGGATCGCAGAGGAGCCCTTCGCAGTCTCCTTCAGGGGGAGGGGGCTTGGCAGGTGCCCCGCCTCTCCGGGCTGGGGGGACATTGGCCACCTCGGCCTCCAAGTCCGCGGCTGAAGCTGAGCAGACCTCGGATCCCAGGTTAACATTTAAACAACTGTTTCCCAAGAAGAGCTCAGCTTAGGTGCAGTCCTAACCACAGTCACTGGGTCACTTCTTGTCACGTATAGCTAAGTAGATGACAGAGTCCATGAAACTGTCTTTAACGGGGCAGGGTAAGCTGACGCAGCAAGGAGTCAGAAGAATCGCTTCAGAAGACTTTTCCGTGGAGGGGTTGGCCGAGCAGGCCTTCCCGATGGCTGGTCTTCGAAGCACAGCTATTTTTTGTTTTTCTATCTTATGCCGATTACTCCTTTTCCTGTGCGGTAAGGGCTCTTGCAGTCACATGAGCATAAGTCAGCTCTCACAGTCTCTGTGTTAATAGCAGAGTGCACTCACAGAAGCTCTGCTTTCTGAGATCACCCGCCGCCTCTTGAACTCTGTTTCTTCTGCATTGACCGTTTCTGTCCAGTCCTTACCTGCCCATCTGCTCAGGTTGTTCCTCACGTGCCTCTGTGTTCGGTACGAGGCTTCATGTTGATTTTCCATTTGTGCTTTGGTTAATTGCAGTCACCAAAAGTCAAGTTACGACTCCTCGCTGTCCTCCCCATTTATACCTCGCTCACGCCCCATCACTCATCTCGGACCGTGGACGGTCTCTTATCATTTTCAACTTACGTCGATCTAGTTCTTGCGCGCAGGACATAAATTGGACCCGTTTTCTGATCCTTTAGCGCCTCAATCCAGTGATGCACTGGTCGTCTGTTAACTCATTTTCACCTTACATTTCTCTTGCGTGATACCGTGTTTGCCATCTGATTCAGAACGAGGTGATTAAAATGTTTGGTTTCCTTTTCCTTAACAAGAGTTTCTGGGTGTCTTCGTGAGACTTCTGAGCTGACGGTGTCTGTCCTCTCTGCGCCTTCTGATTCCGGCTGCCGCTTCCTCCTGCAGTCCCCTCTTCGGTCCTGAGTTTTCCCCTCTGGCAGGAAACAGGAAGCAGGACTTTAAACTTTACCTTCTCTCTCTGCCTCACTCGGGACGCATTCATATTTCTGAAATGGGTTCCTTATAAGTGCTTATAGATCTGTATAGATTTCTGTCTTTTCAAAGTTTATCCATTTCTTAATATTCTTTCCTGGTTTCAACATGACAGCAGATCTTTCAACATGTTTGGGCT